TATGTTTACTGACCAAGGTAAAAGCATATGTCCTTCTTCATCTCATATTACATGTGTATACCAAATTTCATAGTGATTAGTTCAGCCGTTAAGGTGATAAAAAGCAACAAAGAAACTTACTTTAATATTTATAATTTTTTTGGTTATCAATATTAATTAAGTAAACCGTCAATTTGTTCCTTCAAACTAATCTGATAGATTTATATTTTTAAGCAACTTGAAAGAAGACTTTTCTCAATTCGGTTGCATTTTTTTAACAAGTATCAATCACCTTCGAATTTTGTCAATTATAAACCGATTTGGATTTTTTCTACAAGAATATACTTTCAAGTTGGTCTCTTAGAAGTTTTATCAAAACTGAAGACGGTTTTTTTGTTTTTTTTTTCTGTAACAAATTCTATTGTTAAAATATATGTTATAATATATATATATATATATATATATATATATATATATATATATATATATATATATATATATATATATATATATATATATATATATATATATATATATATATATATTAATTTTTGTAAAAAGCAAATATTTTCTTGTTTGTTGCTAATGGATAAATTCAAAACCTATTCAACCGATTTTAAATAATCATTCATCTTTAGAAAGCTACTTTATCAGCGAGCAATATAGGCTAATCGTTATTTTTGAAAATTCTATCAATCTGCGCGAAGTCGGACTGAATCGCTAGTGTATATTAATACTACAAAGCTACGAAAAAGCTAAAAGCACCTGATATTTCGTCCTTTTCCTGCTACGAGTAGATAAAACGTTCTAATTCATCTTGGTCAACATGTCTACGCCTCAGGTGTTAGAGGCAGTTAGGCCTCATTACACCATGAGGTCACTGACCGCTAGGTCACAGGGTTGTAAGTTTCGCAGTATATTATAGGTATTGTTTGAATAAATAAATGAGGTCGCTAACAAGGTATATTCGCTGTCACGCTAGTTATTTAATGGTTTCAAGAAAATTAAAGAGTTTTTGTTTTTTTTCTGCAAAAATACACGAAAGAAAATTGCGATAATATCCGTATAATGCTGTAACTACGAGTTAGTTAAAAATGTAATAAAGCAAAACATATTAGGTTTAAAAATTTAAGCCAACCGTTCCTAATCCGCATAACTCATATTCAGTCTGTGTGCTTCTTAAATTACATGGTGGAAGTGCTAATTTTTTTAAACATCATCCATCATGACTGTTCCAGACGTACTGGCAGTTTTTATAACCATATATTTAAGATCTTTTTATATTTCTTTTTTATTTCAAATATTTCTTTAATTGAATGTCTTAAACCGGCGAGTACTATTCTGAATCCATGTCTCATACAAAGCAGTGACGTAGATAGGGTTAGTATTAAAAAAAAATCCATTTATATTAAAAAGAAAGAAAGAAAAAGAGAGAGAGATGAAATGCTTTATTGGCACCATGTTTTTTTTTTCATTTTAAAATTTAACCTTTATAATATAGAAACAAAATGCATTGGTGCAAAGAAAAAAAAAACACGAAATTGTAAGAAAACACCGATAAAAAAGTTAAAACAAAAAGTACCTTCTTTTGCACTTGTTTCTTCTAACTAACTCAAAGCACTAATGGATTAGTAAACACTTGTTTTCAGTAAGTCAAAGTGCTTTAAACGAATAGTCACTATCTAAAGATTGTAGAAACTTTAATAGAATTAGAAATTGTAAATAAAACAGAGGGTAAAAAAACAGAGGAACTCATAAGATTATTTCTATTCTCGTAAAAGACTTAGCGTGTCAGTGTTGATTCGGAAGTATAGTTATTATCTATTTTTATCTCTATTCACTTAAAAAGTCCGGATTTAATTGAGTTAGAATAATCATCTTCCTGCCCTGATGCTTATTATTTGGAGTCAGCGTGATATGATTTTATTTATATTGCATAATATTTTGGTTTTTGATTTTATGACCAGCTATCTCAACCCTCCTTGGGGATACATTTGTTAGTGGTATATGGTACCTGCAGTATGGAGGGAAGGATTAAGGAAAAAGAAAGAGCACATTGGGAGTGACTAATAAAAGTTTGAATAAAGAAGAAAAGAATAAATTAAAAAAAAAAACAGAAGCAAATTAAATTTACCAGAGGAAGACTTTGTACAAAAGTCGATTGCTTGGGCACCTCTGTCCCATTCGTGTTTCTACCGTGAAGCAGTTGTAATTGCATGGCTGTGTTTCGGTTTGAAGGATCGGATATGGCGTGAATTTACAGGGTACAGAGGAATAACAACTGAGTCCTCAGGAATGGCAACGCATGGGTTTGTTATGTCCATGGTATATGCGACATGTCTATAGGCGACGGTTACCACTTTCCATCAGGTGGGCCGTCAGCTTGTATGCCATTTTAAGTTGTATAAAAAAATTAAATTAAATATCAATCAATCACTCATATTAATAAATTGATTTAAATATGATTATATTCATATGATAACCTAATGACCAATTTGTACCAAAGTCTAAATCTGAAGGGTATATCCAAATAAATTAATTTATTAATCTATTTTCAATATGAGTATCAGTAGAGCTCCCTGTAGCTTGCCAACAACAGTGTTACATTTGGGAGTCTTTATACCGTTCTCAGAACTGAATAAACCCTTACAGACAAAGTTTGATTGAATGGAAATACTAGAATGATGTAATTTCCGAGTTACTTCCTAAACATTTTTTTTTATATAAAAACTTACGGGGTAAATGCGCATGCGGTTACCTGATGATAACTGATAATCACCACCCATAGGAACTTGCAATATCAGAGTCATTGCAGACGTGTTGCTGGCCTTTTAAGAAAGAGTAGAGTCTTTTTTTTAAGGTTTGAATAATAATATGGTATATGTTCAGAAATACTGGTACTGGGAGTTGGTTCCATACTCTGATTGTGCGTGGAAGAAAATGTCTAGGTACAGATTGTCTCATAATTATGTTGATGATGATGAAATGATATTATGTAACATCTTATTGTACTGTTGTAAATAAATAAATCATTAATTCATTTATTTAATCTGTCTACTATACAGTAGTAGTATATACATCCAGACAGTTGCAAAGTAGAACTTGTATGAGACAACAACAATGCTATTAGCATATCGAGATTCTAGTTTAATATTAGTGATCTCAAAGAATGGACATAAATATTTTAGTGACCTAGATATTAATTTTCGGAATTATTTATTTATATATATTTTATATTAATGCCACAAAATCATACCCATCGTCTGGCTGTTATGCTAGGAACCAGGCCGGAACGGTCCGATCCGAGCCAATTTGGATTTTTTTTTATTGTTGAAAGTTTCGTAACTACACATTATATTATAATGGAATAATAACATGATTAACTTACGGAGTCAGGGTCGCGCTTGTTAGATATTTATTTTAAATTATATTAATTTTCTTAAACATCTTGTGTTAAAATGTGTACCTACATTTATTAATGAAAATCAGACTAACTACTTTAAATATAATAAAACGTTAAAATTGTTATTATACCAAATTTGGTAATGAATTATTCTTGTAATGTATATAGAACACAAATTTATATTTTAATTAATTTTATAATTATTTATTGTCATGATACTTGAATAAAAAGTAATGAAATTGTAAGAACACGTGGTCTTATTGACTTGTTCACTCGAAATCGGCCCTGTAGATATAAAAGATTGTTATTTGGGTGGGAAGGTACTTCTTGTCCAACCGTTGAACAGAGTGGAACTCCCTGACGTATCAAGAGTGAACAAATATAGTAAACCACGTGATCATTATATAAAATATGTCACAATTATTATTGGTGGAAGTCCTAAAGAAGCTATAATTAAATAAGTATCAATGGATTAACAGAAGTTGGGTATTTATGTTATATTATTTGTTATATATCAAATACCGCAAAAAAGACGCCGTTTGTCGTATCTCCTCACTTTCAGGGCACTTCCCTTGATAAAAAGTTGAGTCTAGGAATTCTGGGCGTTGATATATCTTGCGACGTCCAGTTTTGCGGTCATCTGGAGGAGAAGGCTAAGATAGCTTCCAAAAAGTTAGGAGTGCTCAATAGGGTGAGACGATATTTCATGCCAGAACACCGCCTGAAATTATATAAAGCCCAAGTCAGCATATGGAAACTGTTCTCACCTGTGGGCGTGGTCAGTACCAACTCCTTCCGTTATCAAATAATTATCGATAGTAACGCCTTAATTATTGCGCAGAGATGTTGGTGGAATTTATCATGGGGAGTGTTCTGAAGAATTGTTCGGATTGATACCTGCTGCTGATTTTTAAATAAGTTTCATCCCAATCATCTGGAAGTGGTTTTCCACCGTGTGTTTTTCAAGGCACTTTCTTCCACGCATAACCATTCTTTGGAATTTCCAGCAGCAGTATTTCCGAACCGATACGACAACATAACCTTCAAGAAAAGAGTATATTCCTTTTTAAAAGGCCGGCAGCACATGCAATTGATTGTTATATATCTGTATTGTAAAAAAAAATACAAAGTAAAATAAGTAAATATATGATTTAATAGTATGATATCTAAATTAAATGAACTATGTGAACTTGTGCTTTATTTCTATTTATTACGTAATTGAATTACTATATAAATCTATTACCTTACAGTTATTTAATTTAATACGCTCATGTCATGGTCGCTAATGACTAAAGGGTTCGGATGGTGCCGAAAGCAGTCGAGCTGTCTGTACTAAAATACACTTAGGTAATTCAGTTGTTTTAATGTTAAAATAAAGAATACAATTCATAAAAGTTTATGCTAAATTGGCTCGATCGAGAATTGAACTCAAACCTCATAATCTAAAGCAAAGTGCGTACCGCTGCGCAACGGAGGTCGTCATATACATATATATGTTTGATAGTGTAGTATACTCCTATATAATTAATAGTGTAATAAACCTCTAAGTGAGATTAACGTTATTGTGCGCGTAAATAGATGAAAGGCAACTATCGCATAAATCGTTTTGTGTCAACAGGAAGCCCGCTGTCATCTGTAACTGGGACAGTGACTCGCGTGTCGGCCGTCGTGGGAGGGGTGGCGGAGCTGCCTTGCGACTCGCGGCCGCCACAACGGAATGACAGCTTACTATTAGTTGTTTGGTATCGAGACGACAACCCTGTGTACAGGTCAGTACATATTATTAATTGTAGTAACATAGTACATTTAAATAAATACGCATAATGTTAATAGAGATTTAAAAGAGTAACTGTTGAGTTTCTTGCGGGCTCGTCTCAACAGATAATAACTTTCCGAACCCTAGAGTAGATTTCAGAAAAATTACGATTTAAAAGTGCTTGTAAACAAGTCTACTTTAATAAAGTTTTAAATTTGAATTTCAATTGAATTCTATCTAAAAAAAAAAAACAATCACAAAAGCGCAAAATAGATTTACAGATTTTTTTATGGATGATAATGGAATCGTAACCACACCTGCGCTAATAGTATAAACTGGCGGTGCACCAGTAAGGGATGACAGGTGAGATTGAAAAGGCGGTTCAGTTAGTCCATCATGGTCAATATACCTGGGATTATGCACAATAGTTTCCAAAGGGAACCCCATAGAGGTTGACCCGACAGGGTATATTGCTAGCAATGGAACTGGTAGTCCGCATTACTAACAATCCCTTTCTTCCATTTAAAGAAGTTCTTAATAGTGGACTTAGTCATTTTTTAATAAGTGTCAATGAAATACAAATCTCGCTTGTGTTATCGGAACCACTGAAAGATAAGTGAAGATGAAAGCAGGCCAGTGGCTCATCATAACGAATTCAATAATAATGTACCATGATGGTTTCTAGAAAGAACCGCGTGGATATCAATCTGATTGACCTCCACGCGGTTCTTTGTTTTACTTCACTATATTGCTAGCAATGAGGTTGTTAGACCCCTTATTAACAATCCTTTTTCTCTCTAGACTGTCTTTGTACACTTTAGTCTTTTTATAGATGATTATGAACAGAATGGTAACTTTACTAACGCTATCGGTTTAAGTAGTGAGGGATAATAGGTGAGGATAAAGTCGGATCAGTTGCTACCTGTTTAGTGTTACTGTATTTTATTTATTTATACAACATTATTATAATTTTATTAATAATTTATTATAATATTCAATGGCAGTAACCTATAATTGGAGAGCTTTTATCAATTAATCGAATTTATAAAATTATCTGTATATATTTTTCATAATTATTCTATTTTTTTATTTCTAGTAAAAAATCTGAGAGTTTTTATCCATTTCCAGAAACAATAAAAATTATATATAAGTTTATATATTTTCAATATATATATATATATATATATATATATATATATATATATATATATATATATATATATATATATATATATATATATATATATATATATATATATATATATATATATTCTATTTCAAAAGTTGAAATAAAATACGTAAAGACAAATGAGATCTCTTGGAATGGTCTTTTAAAATACAATGAAAATATATAAACTTTTTTCTTTTAAAATACATGTAGATTTTTCGTACAATAATATCTTTGAGATAATAATATATAATACCTCCTCCTCTTATTCATAAAGACCTAAAATATAAAAACTTTTTGTAAAACTATGAAGCAAAATCGAATATTTTAAAATTATTTTTCGTACATACAGGAATGCGACTAATAAATAATAATTACATAAAATACTTTATTCTTGTTACTGACTTTTCATTTTTAATATCTTGTAAATATAAATATGAAACTTTATATAATAAATTGATTGCTTCCAATGTAAACTATATTAATAACTTAAAGATTTACATGTAATTTACCTTTTACCTATGGTTTGAAAACACGATTTTTTTTTCTTTTTATTCTTATGCTTACAAGATTTGTATTTCTCATTACAGTGTTGTTCCATTATGCCGAACATACTTTGAGTTTATTTTCTGTGACATTACACTGACAAGAAAAAAGTTCCAATCTCCTATCTCCTCCACAATGTTCACTCGAGTAATTTGAGAAAAGATTTTTCTTAAAAACGAGTGAACGGATCATAGCCGTTAGTGCGGGTAAGGATTCGCTTATATTAAAATATTTAGATGGGAGATTACCGTAAATCATAGTTTCTCAACCTGAGACCCGCAAACTTTATGGAAGTCACATTTAATATTATAGAGGTATTCTATTTTAATTTGGTAATTCTTTAGTGCAGTTTACTAGATTTAAGCATTTTTTAATAGTAACAGTTTACTTTTTACTTACTTATAACATTGTACATTGTCTGCTTAATTGTTGTGAGCATATTGTTAACTAGTTATTCTTTATTGTACACAAAAGGTTATTGAAATGTAAAAACAAACATAATAGTGCACAAAGGCGAGCTTATCTCCAATAAAGATTTCTTCCAGCAAGGTCGCAACTTATTCGTTAAATAAGAACTGTTAGCGTTCCTTTATATATTTACTATGTTTGCTTGTGACTTCGTCCACATGATGAGTATAATAAGTAACCTATGTTGTATGTTCCCATGTTAAATACTATGAATTTTCTTTTTATACAGTAAAGTGGCAAACAAGCATACAGCCCGTCTGATGGTAAATTGTCACTGTAGCCTATGGACACCTGCAATATTAGGGGTCTCACGTATAACGTGCGCGTTGCCGACCCTAAAGGAACCCTAATATACAATAGGGAAAACCTAAAAAAGCATTCGCGGGAGAAATTTTCTTTGAAATCGCACTGTACGTGACCATTTAGATTCAAGTATGTTAGGATGAATTCCCTGTCGATGGCGGGCAGTTCGATGATAAAAAGTGGCTGTAGGCATCATTTCAAACAATTTCTCAGAACACAATCCCTTATACAAGCCGTAGAACACACAAAGGGAGGCAAAGTATCACCTTAGACTTAAAAACATATGCTAAAATAAAAATTAGGCTTGACAGTAAGGCACAAAGTGGTAATAAAAAATATTTTTTAAATTTATAACATAGTAAGAATATCCTTTTTAATTTAGAAATAGATAACATAAAGTTGAATAAATTTAATAGAGGATTAAGTACATAATAGCTAAAACTATAGTAAAAATTAAATTAATAATATTATAATGAGGGGGTCACAATATTTTTTTTTCATCTTTTCGTCTATTTAGTGGGCCATAACACTGAAAAGGTTGAGAAACAATGCCGTAAATAATACAGATAAGACGAAGGCTACTTACTTGTGACTGATAAAGAAAACCAAAAAAGATATGCCTGATTATTATGAATCTCGTCAAAAAGGGCCGATCCCTTTTTGCTTCGATCCCGAAATTCGTGTAGCATAAAATTCATAGAGTTTCCTTTCATTTTATTCTCAACTAGATGTGACGGCGAATTCGTTCGCATGGTTTGCGATTTTAACGTAATCCTTAAAAAATATAGATAAATAAACGAATATACACTATTTCATCAACATCATTTCAGTTTTTTTTTTTTTTTTTTTGGTGCATGAAAATGGAATGGTAACTCCGCCTGCGCTAACGGGATACGCTGGCGGAGCACCAGTGTAGGGTGATAGATGAGAATGAAAACAGGCTAGTTAGCCCATTATGATGAATTCATCAGGAATTAACCATGATAGTTTCCAGAGGGAACCATGAGGAGGTCGACCTGGTTGGGTATATTGCTAGCAATGGGATTTTTAGTCTCCATTACTAACAATCCCTTTCCCCTCTCATTTCAATTATTATCCATTCACTGCTGGACATAGGCTTCCCCTATAGATTGCCATAAGGAACGGTCCTGAGCTACCTGCATCATGATCCTTGCATTATACATTAATTACATTATACCTACAATATAGGAAATGACCAAGACGAATATAGGAAATGACAAGATATAATATCAGTTTTACCCGCGGATTCGTGTGCGTTTTTTTTACGAGCATGCGGCTCACCTGATGGTAAGTGACCATCGTCGCCCATGATCATCCACAACTCCAATGGTATAGCAGGAGTGCAGCTGGCCTTTTAAAAAGGAATATACTCTTTTCTTGAAGGTTATGTTGTCGTATCGATTTGGAAATACTGCTGCTGGATGTTGATTCCAAAGAGTAGTTGTGCGTGGAAGAAAGTGTCTTGAAAAACACACTATAGAGGACCGCCACTCGTCCAGATGGTGCGTGGTCAACATATGTTCGTTGATCGGGATAAAAGTAGCCTGCTCCATACTAATTTGTTCGTGTATGAAATTTTGACAAAATTTTGAATTAATTATAGACTAATTTTGAATTGTTCGATATGATGGCCACTCCCACTTTCTATCACCATACAGCTCGCCATCGACAGGGATTTCACCCTATCCCTATATACCCTAGAGCTTGGATGGTCGCGTACAGCGAGATTTGTGACATTTCCTCTCACAAATGCTCAGATTATGAAATGAGCTCCCTGTTTTGGTTTTTCCAAGAGGTTTCTTGAGAGTCAGCAACACGTGCGTAATGCTCCTGGTATTGCAAGCTTTCATAAGCAGTAACCACTTCATCACCATCAGGTAGGCCGTATTCTTATTTGTGTCGTCGGTGGTATAAATAAAATATCCACGTACTATATGAGATTATGTGCACAGCTTGAGTTCATTCATGTAAAAACAGTTTGCAAACAATGTGTAAATCACACAAGTACATATAAAAAAGAAAATACATAAAATTCTGTAAAAAGATAAAACTATAAAACATGATTCCTTATGAACTTCCGCAAAATAACAGCTACTTCAGTAAAATATTCACATATAAGTCACCTAATTTAGTATATTAATTGGCCATTCTTTTAAATAAGATATTGGAATTGTTAGGATTTCTTTAACCTATTATTTAACTTAACATTGTACTAACCAGGTCGCGGTAAATTAACAGTTGTCGCCCTCCCGAGAGTTAAATGTAACCTCTATTCACCGCAAGTTAACCTCAAACGGCTCAAATTACGGTTGACAGTTTAATTTGGCTAATATTGATATTAGATTAAGAAGGCTTATTCGGTAGCATGAATAATTTACAAAATATATTATTCACACTAGTCTATTATTCAAATAGTGAAATTAAAAATAAAATTAATTGATTAATTAATTAAAATTGAAACTATTTTTTTTATTATTAAATTTAACATGACCTCACAATGACCGTGA